TTTGGTGCACTTTCACACAACCCATTCATTGAGGATCACATGTTAGGTGAATAGGCAAAGAGTGTACAATACCTGACAAAAGTCTTGTTGCATATCAAAGTTTTAGGAGCAACAAATAAATTCTATTTGATCATTTGGTATCAGAAGCGGCTTATATGAAAGGCAAATGCCTCTAGATTACGCATCTTTTACCAAAAATAAAATATGCCTTGATTTTTAATTATTCAATTAGGACAGTAAGGTCTGACTTTGCTTAGACTTAAGTTTTGTCACAACTGAAATAATGTACAGTATAGAATATAAAGTCATGGTGCAGCCGGCAGCTAGCTTTTTGCAACTTTCACATGGTTGCCCACTGAAGCTAAACAGGGCTGCGCCCGGTCAGTACCTTTATGGGAGACCACATGGGAAAGCTATAGGTTGCTGCCGGACGTGGTGTTAGTGAGGCCAACAGGTGGTGCTCAACCTGTGGTCTGTCTGGGTCCTAACGCCCCAGTATAGTGAAGGGGACACTTTTCTTTCAGTGATCGCCGTCTTTCAGATGAGGCACTAAACCGAGGTCCCGACTCTCTGTGGCCGTTTATAATACCAGGATGTCCTTCGAAAAGAGTAGGGGTTTACCCCAGCATGCTGGCCAAATTCATCCTCTGGCCTCTGTCCATCATGGCCTCCTTACCATCCCCATATCTCAATTGGCTTCGTCACTACACCAATCAACTCACTGTAGAGTTTAAGCATTGCATCTTGTTATATTGTTAAGTTATTATATTGTTGTTGTTTTATTCAGTTTTATGTCCTATTTTGACATTCCTGTTATTCAGCAATGTTTAAACTTTACAGTAATTTTACTTTTTAGAAAAGATTGCAAGAATTATTGTTTATTTGATTCCGAGCCTTTAATAGTCAATTATAAGCGATTTATAAAGCATAAATAGTCCTCACTTCAGATTAGGTCACAAAACCATGCATGAAGTTGAGTTAATAAAGCATTTTTTAACATATCAGTTAACTATTAGTATATGCCTGAATAAAAAGATATTTAAATGTTGATTTCAATAGTTTATTAATTGTTTACTAACTCACTAACTACTCTTAAATACAACTGGTTTGTAAATAATGCAATACATAGTTAATGATTTAAATTTCATTGCTAAATTAAGTATGAAAATACAATTATTAAACATTATATAGGTGCTCATAAATACAGCATTTGTTGCTGCAGTTATAAACTGCTTACTAACGTTTATTAATGTACAGTTTGCTTAACAAATAATTAATTCACTAGATGCTAATGCTTAATAAATGATTCATAGTGTGTAGTTATTATAAAGTGTTACCTAAGACTTTTGTCAGGTAGTGTATGGTCAATCTTAAAAGCCAATTTGCATGTAGATTTAGCATATTCCTCTTGTGATTGGATTGATAAAAAATACCAAGTGTGAAAAGCTAAGTCATTTTTTAAAAAGGTTTTCAAAGCATACAAAGACGAACATCCACTTCTCTTAGAGAAACTCCCACTTCACCCTTACACCATGTAAACTTCTCTAAAGGCATAAATGCACTTAAAATGTTTTCTATAAGCGATTTTTTTTCAGATCAAGATTTTCCATGCAGATGTGAGTAATCTGACATTTAAATGAATGATCTGTCTGTGTATATGTAATTTGCACCACTGCAATTAAAATATTTACTCTGTGTTGTTTTAGCAGCTGCAAGACGCACAAAACATCTGCCCACAAATGATCTCTCGGAAATCTACAGAGGTCACATTCGGCGAGCTTGAATTTCAAGAAATAAAGTCAATTACAAAGGCGGCGCACTTTTTCTTTAATGGCCAGTGTCACCAGCAGGCACAAAACAGGTGTCACGCCACATTCATGATATATTTGATCATGATTATGATGCATTAGCAAGTGTCAGACTAAGCGTTGCTATTTTTCACTATCAGAAATACGGCTTTATGTCAGAGTCATAAATCTCCTCGATTGTACAGTGGAATGGTCACCTTCTGGGATATAAAAAAAAAATATGCTGAGATGAGCTGGAGCCGAACGTACTGTTTCGAATCCTAAAGCGGCCAAGGACACTAATGTCACCTGAAACACAGGCTTATGAATAGCAATGAATCCTTTACGTCATGCTGTGTGGGTATTAAGAATGACTGTATTGATCTGAATGAGTAAGAAGCAGAGGGTAAATGGAGGGAAGGAAAAAATACCTGATGAATGAGAAACACTGAAACAAAAGGGCAGCGGATGACTGAAACTGCAACACCACTTGCTTTTCATATCTGAATAATTTAGGAAAGCATAAAGCAGTTTAGGGGCACAAAGAAACTGCTAAAATAATTAGTTCTCCTTAAAGACACAGAGTTATAATTTTTTATGTATTAAGGGCTCTTTTATAGCCAGTGTGTGAACACTTTGTATTAAAACTAAAATTACATTTTTAATGTCTTTTTAAATGGTTTTCTGTAAAACTCAACCATAATTTTGTAGTTAGACCTTTACATGCAAGTATGGGAACCTGCGGTCTGTGTCGGTACTAAAGCCCCAATATAGCGAAGCGCACACTTTTCTTTCAGTGAGCACTGTCTTTCAGATGAGACGTTAAACCGAGGTCCTGACTCTCTGTGGTTGTTTAAAATACCAGGATGTCTTTTGAAAAGAGTAGTGGTTTGACCCTAGCATCCTGGCCAAATTCATCCTCTGGCCTCTGTCCATCATGGCCTCCTTACCATCCCCATATCTCAATTGGCTTCATCACTACACCAATCAACTGGTGTGTGGTGGGTTATTCTTGCTCAGTATGGCTGCTGTTTGTTCATTCAAGGGAATGCTGCATGTTGGTGGTGGTCGAGGAGATTGACTCCAATTTGTAAAACTTATTAATAAAGTCCTCTGGAATGGCAAAGAAAGCGCTCTTGCAGGACTCCCAGAGTTCATCATGATTCTTTTACTTCATCTTCAATGCCTCCTACTTCATCTTACCCCAGACATGCTTAATAATGTTCATGTCTGGTGTCTGCGTAGGCCAATCCTGGAGCACCTTGACCTTCTTTGCTTTCAGGCTAAAGTATGAAGAGTACTATCCTGCTGAAGAAGTTGCCCTCTCCTGTGGTTTGAAATGTAATAGGGAACACAAATGTCTTGATTAACTTGGGTAGGCCAAATCCAGGTGGAAAACCTCTAGATAGCTTGTAAGTTAAAATGTCTGCAAGTTACATGTTCTTTGAAAGTGTTTCTGAGTTATCCTTGTAGCCAGGGTCAAAAATAAACACTCGCCAAGCGTCTAATGTGCACCTGTAGATTGACTGTTTTATTCTAAAATAGGGATTAAAATAGTTGCAATGTTACTTTTTGTTCTCTGTGCAGTTCACATTCACACGGCAAAGTTTCTAAATGGACCAAAATGGTTAAAACAACTCACATGCGATTAAACTCTCCTCACATTAGTCAGTGTAGTTTATTTTTGGGATTCCGCTCAGCTCGTTTTCATACTTTAGGACAGGGTTTTCACGAGCATTGCGAGGAGTTTAAATGAATTGACATCTGTTTTCAGTGAGTGACCACACAGAGAGAAACCTGCTACTCAAAACAGCGTGTAAGGGCTGAATTCAGTTCACTTTCACAGTGTTTTGCTGTCAGTAACACTTACGAGTTAAAATGCTAGTCTTGGTTTTTATTCTCGTAAACACTAATTTGTCTAAAATGGAAATAAACTGTTTGAGAGGGATTCTCTGTTTATGTCCTTAAAGTGAGGGCAGCAGAAAAATGAAGTTAACAATTCCAGTCATTGGTGTTTCTTATTTATTTATTTTTAATTTTTTTGGAAAGTTCAACAATGATGAACTTAAAATCATTGTAAATATTATTAGGGTGCTTTCACACCTGTAGACCGATTGTTTTGTTCCGAAACAGGGATTAAAATTGTTACAGTGTTTATTTTTGTTGTCGGTGCGGTTCACTTTCAGACGACAAAGTTTTTAAATGGACCAAAATAGCTAAAACAAGTCACGTGTGAGTAAACTCTTCTCAAATTTGTCAGAGTTGTAGGGTTTATTTTGTCAGAGTCCCGCTCAGCTGTCATGCGTCCTTATTTTAATTTGTGACGATGAGCAATAAGACATTATAAACGAAAAGCTGCAGTTTCTTTTTTGAATGGTGACACCCACAGACATCATCACCAAATATAAATCAGAGGTTAGACTTTCTTATACATAGTGTTTAACTAAAATTGTGCATTATAGGCTTTACATTATAGAGAGAAATAACCGATAAACCAAGACTGCTGTTCGGTCCATTTTCTTAACGAATAAACAGCTCTTGTTAATAGTTCAGTATGCTTTCACTTTCGTATTTGACATGAAACACAGAATTTCCAGCAGGAAAGACATCCCGCCTCATGATTCTCTTATAGCCATATATGCCTATTACATATCCATAATACACTGTGATAGTCTGGTTGGTTAGTTCATAGGATTGTTTGCTTTCTTACTACAATCGATCCGCTCCAGAGTTAATTTCAATCGAGCCGAGACCATATCAGTCAGGCAATCTCCGATAGGTTGTTTTGGCGCTCATCCGAGTGCGATTGCTGGATTCACATATGCCAAACATATCGTGTTAACTAGGGAAACACGCCAGGCTCCGAAAAAAAAGTCTAGGTGTGAAAGCACCCTTAGTTACTGTAGTAGTAAGACAAACTGCCAATGAAAAGCCTTTTATGGCCAATAAAAAAATTATCTGGTACTTTTTTTAATGTTACCAGCCATTTGGCAGGTTTGGCAAAACAATTGCTTTAGGCCCTGATAAAAAAAGAATTTATGAGGAGATGGTAAACATTTAACTTGGATTATTTCATTTATTTTAACATCGCTTTCTGAGACCTGTTGAATCCTGTATGAACAGACATTCTCAATTTGGATGCCCTAGTTCTTTCGGTGCCTCTCATGGTTCTGCACATTATGGCTTACCATGTCCCAAATTGTCTTCTTTCAGGAAAGCGGCTCCGTCTACCTGCAGTTTTCATGCTCCACTGACCTGCAGCTGGAAGTCATTTTTGAGGTTCTGGAGGAGTTTGATTGGACTGCGTTTTCAGTGGTCACCACACGCCACCACGGCTATGAGGATTTCCTGGCCATGGTAGAGGGCATGATAGATGGATCGTTCATCGGCTGGGAGAGAAAGAGCGTGGTGATGCTCAACCTGACCGATGACCCGGGAGGAGCTCGAACCCGCAGGCTGCTGAAGGAGAATGAAGCACAGGTCAGCAGTGGGAATACAGTCTAACATGCATACATTATTTATATACTGTATTTACAGTATAAATACAGCTTGCTCCTCCACATTTAAATACCTCAGTGTTGTTTGTGGCAGCAGTCTGAACTGCATTATTTATATATTCATTCCAAAACAACATAAATAGATAAGTATCTTTTACTTTCATCCATGTGCTATCGATCTGTTTGTTTTTAAAGTGAACAATCATATGTTTCAATGTAAGATCAATGGAAAAAAAAACATTCTTAAATTTAAAGCAGAAAAAGCCATGTTCAGAAGCAACAGATTAAGTTTAACTTTATATGTGAATGTCATACTTGCTTCTTAAACTTGACTTGATGAGCAGGATTAAAGATGATGCTTCATTAGCCATGTTAAATGTGTTTGGCTGCATGCTGCATTAGTTAAATAGAACACATCGTATGTCGAATACTTGGAATTGAACAATATTTGCTGCTTGTGTATGTATGCGAGTGCCGCAGGCGTGGTCTTGGATCCTGTTTTTAAATCACGGAAACTCACTTCATTATTCATTGCACAGTTAAGAGCAGGACATTGTTTGAGACTGTGCAGGGTTGCCTTGTTTGTGTGTTCATACAGTCCTTTGAAACCAAGTTTCTAATGAGCATGTAGGAGGTTGCTAAGTTATTATTATTTTTTTCTAGCAGCCTGAAACATGATATTGTTTTGTAATAAGGACATATAGTTTACAGTATTAGTGCTAAGGTAGCCCAGGTACACATAGTCATAAGCCACCTTTGTTATGCCATTTGGCACAGGCACACACAACCCTAGCTCACTGGCGCCCTATTTACACGGGGCGTCAGCGGTTACCATTCACTTTGAATGGGTGACGTCAAGTGTTGCTGAACTGAATTGTGGGTCCGTTGGCACTGCTTCAGCGGCGTTGCTCACTGCAGAAGTTGGGGATTTCTCAATTTTTCAAGCTCCAACAGAGGTGTCAACCAATCATGCTGATAAATGCAAATACCCCAGCTCAGACAGTAGCCAATTGCGGACTAATTTCATTGGCTGACGCTGCTTTTAAGATTGCATCAGCTCCAACTTCAGGCATGCCCTCTGTCAAGCCTTGACACTGAAGCCCCGTGTGAATGCATGGTAAATGTAAGCTGGTTGCATAGTAGCCAAGGCACACATAATCTAGTACACTTATTTTAAGCAAGTTGTCTACATAGCCAAGGCACACATAGTTTGGTACATTAGTGTTAAGCTAATTGACAAGTTAGCCCAGGCACATATAAATAGTAAAGATTCAGTTCCATTGCTGTATGGTGCAAAAAACAAATATCAGCAAACATTACAAATTTTAGACCCTCTAGTTTTTCGCGATTCCGCGATCGCTGAATCCAATGAAAAATCAACAAAAACTCGCAAATTTTTACAATTCTGCAAAATTCTTCATTAAATGCAAAATCATCACAAAAAATGTGAACAATATCATTAAAACATCCAATTACAAACAATATAATCAAATTATATTTATTTCAGTTTGTAATTTATTGTTTTACATGACTGCATCTGCAAGTGATGTATTTGAGTGTCTCTCGAAAAATGACTTTTCACCTGCGCCCTCACAATCCTAACATTACATGAAAGGGGGAGGAATTGTTTTGCAGCCTGTGCGGTAAGGAGACATGGATGAAGCGTGAGTGATTTACATGTGAAGTCAATGCAAAGATTGGATTTGACATCCTGGCGTGAATTGGGCATTTTGTGCCTCAGACTGCAAAAGAAAGTTGGAAACATCTAATAAACGGAGCAATAGAACAGACAGAAAAGCAAGCAGGTTAAATTAATGGAGATTGGTTCAATGATGACGGCCGCTAGATGTGACCGAATTGAAGGACATTATTTGTGCGGCTGGTTTTATAATGTGCGTAAAATCGATAAATGTTTTCGTTTAACTCTTTTCCTGCAGTTAACAAGAGAAAACGCTTCCCTGCCTTTGACGAGTTTTACGACAATCTGTGCTTTAGGTGTATTATGGCAGGGGAAGCCCTAACGCACGTCCTGAGTGAGGTACATGATGTCAGATGCTCCAGGGAATAAAATCTGAGAGAAAGTTAGATTGTGGACAGAAATAAGAGTGATACAACCTTCCATTGGCTTAATCCACACTGTTTTGGATCTTTTCTTGATAAGAGACTAAAATAAGTAACCTTCATTTTTTTTTATTTGTGTCATTGCCATTTAGAGTGCATACCTAACATAGTAGGTATATACATAAAATCACAAAATTGTCCGCAAATTTCTGGGAATTACCACCACACGTATTTTTTATCACAACAAAAAATTAATTAATTAAAAATTAATTCATTCATCCAGACTGAATCATCTAATCTTGATATACAGAATGCATGTTTGCTAATGCTAATGACTGAATTATAGAGGTGTAACGATACATTCAGCTCACGATACGAAAATTAAACTGAAATGCAAATTTTACCAAGTAAACTATTTTTTATGTATTTCTTTTCTTTCAACTTGTTAAACTGAACCTTCTTTAAGAAAATAAATTAAACAGGCCTGTCTCTGGAAAACAAAACAATTTTAATTTCAATTTTAATTAAAAAAAAATTTTTTTTTGGAAAATAAGACAAAATTAAGGAACAATTTAAGTAAAGGTGCAAAAAAAAAAGCTTTCTATTCAATTGAATTTAACAGCAAGAGCTTAAGGCTTTGCTTGGTCTCTTGCGTTTTTTGTGTGTGCAAAAAAAATCCACATTTCCAGGTATTTAATTCATATTTAATTAAATTCATTTAGAGATATCTCTAATTACAATTGTGACTAGTCAAAACTCATTTAGAGATATCTGCAAATATTTTTTAATGGAAGTCAATGGAGGAATATGACTAGTCATGATATATTTGCAGATATCTCCAATCTGATTTCGTACTAGTACAATTGTAATTGCAGATATCTCTAATTGTCATTCTGATTAGTCGAATTATTATTATGACTAGTCAAAATATAATTAGAGATATCACTAAATATATTTATGGATAGTCAGAACAAAGGTTTTAATGCTAAAACGGCTTGCCATACGCGCGCGTCTATCATATTCCGCCCTCTGTAGTAACAGCTCACGGTCAGCTCACGTCATGTGTGATTTTGCGGCCGCCAATACATCATTATATGAAGACAGAATGATATTTTAGGGTGAATTGTACCTTATAAATACAGTATGTGACTCTTTCAACATCATTAGGAGGTATCCCTGTCGCTGTGCAAAGTATGTAAATCACTGTGAAGACTTTAAAACTTAGGATGTTTGACCCAGTATGCGTGTCAAAAAGCGGATGAGTCTAAAGCAATGACTGTACAACCGAAATGTTGCCAGACGTCTGATTTAGAGAGGATGGGCCATCCTCTATTTCAACTCCACTCATCTTGGTCTGCTAACATTACTGCTGCTGCAATCTGAACTCACATGCGACAGCAGGTGGAACGTAGCTCACGTGCAAACAGCTCAACTAATAAGAGAAAACGGACTTCATATTGTAATAAAATCGTCATAACGCCACGATGCATATTGTGACATTTTTGCATCGCAATAAATCATACAACGATAAATCGTTACACCCTTACTGAATAACTCATTTTGTCTTCATGTTCTCCTGCTTTGTTAGGGGTTACATCTATGTTATGTTTGCAGCAGCAACTGTGAGTTTACTAGGAGTAGCAAGCCTCTGTACTTGCTCTGCGCCTTAAAGCAACAGCAGCTGCAGCGTATAAGATCTGTGCCGCCAAGACCAAAAGCATTAACATCACTATATACATATTCATTACCGTACTAAATCTCTCTGAGTGTTATTTTGTACAATTATCAGTAGAGCAATTTTAGTGATGTTTCAGAATGTCTTAATATTTGACAGATCTCTCTTTACTTTAATTGCATGCAGCACTTGAGCAGCTGTCTCGTCGCGTTTGTGTTAAAGCTGATGGTGATGTTCTCCAGCATGATCTGAAAATGATCAAAGAGCATATTGAGCTTCAGTGCATGCAAGATCAACTGACTGTCTGTGTACAAAGGAGACACATGATCAGTGTTACTACTTCAAATGTATACATTTAGTGTTATTTTTATTTGATCATTTTTTTGTGCATCGCTTCTATTAAATTTAAACTTAATTAACTTGTGTATAATTTTACATATAATATTTTGACATGCTAAAGGTTTACTTAGAGCAGGGGTCACCAATCTCGGTCCTGGAGGGCCAGTGTCCCTTCAGGGTTTAGCTCCAACTTGCCTCAACACAGCTTGTTCAGGTGTGTTTGATTAGGGTTGGAGCTAAAATCTGCAGGACACCGGCCCTCCAGAAACAAGTTTGGTGACCCCTGACTTAAAGGCTTAAAGTTCAGATTGTAATTATTTATTGATTAATATAATAAAATATTTATGTGTATTTATTCTTTAGAAAAATCTAGGAGCAAATATTATGGGCTCTATTTTGACGATCCATGCGCAAAGTGCAAATCGCAGGGCGCAAAAGCAATTAGGGCGTGTCGGAATCCTCTGCTATTTTAAGGATAAAAAAATCAGCTTTGCGGCGTGGCGCATGCTCTAAAAGGGTTGAGCTTATTTTCTTAATGAGTTATAGGTGTGTTTTGAGAATAAACCAATTAGAGTCTCATCTCCCATTCCCTTTAAGAGTCAGTTGCGTCGCGCCATGGCACATTTGCTATTTACATGAGGACTTTGTAATAAAAAACTGAGCATTTCACTAGCAAGAAAACAGTTAAACAGAGCATATACAGCATGAGAATGAGAGATGAGCCTCCTCATTATTTAGCCTTGTTTCGCTTTCACTCTCGTGGATAGGGAAGCATGTTGTATGCACAGACATCAATTAGCCTATAAATAATTAATTTAGTTTGTTAAGTGCAAAGATTTGTTTCAAAACTATTTCTAACTTCAGTTCTAATTTCCATCAAACGAATAAATGAACAATTAGTGTGATGT